TGAGCCTCCACTCTAGGGGAAGAAACCCCCTGAGAGCGCAGACCTCCCAGGCTCTTGGGGGAGGGCTATCGGCCATGTCATCCCAGACGGTGAGGAAAAGGCATTTTGCCAGCCTGGGGCCGCCTTTCCACCAATGGAGCAACAGCTCACAGCCCCTGCTCATCTTTATTTAGACCATAGCCCCTGCAACACAAAACCCTTTGGGACTGAGAAAGTCCCCGAGTTAAGGCTTCCATGGCAACGCATTCCCCCAGATTCCTCCCTAGGTTATCAGGGAGCAATTATCTATAGCCCCAAAGCGGTTGGGTTGTACGTTAGATTTATGAAGCTCCTAAAGGCAATCCTGAAGACTCCTTTGTCCCCAAAATTAGAACATGGGTGGGAGACACAAACAGAAAGTGCCATTGTGCTGATAGCTAGGCGTCTCTGGAAGCTGATCCTGACAGTTCTGCTTTTTAAAGGCCTGGGCGGTGTCAGAGTGAGATTCAGCGCTGCTCAGCAGAAGCTTTGGTCAGCCCAAGAACATTGCCCAACCGCTCTGGCTCTGTCCTCGCTGACCTGCGTCTCATTTCTCTTTCAGAGTCCATTCTCAAAAGAAGTAGGTGCTAGAGCCTTCATCAGAGACCTCATGGGATAGGGGGATATCCAAGGAGACCTCTGCAGGCTGGGGGTGTGGAAGGGGAAAGAGATGACTTGGAAAGTACATAAGGAGCTGGCCTGTGCAACTAGAGGGGGCGGGGGTTGGGGGTGGGTGTCAGCCCCTGCCCTCAGACAGGGGGAACAGTGACTTTGCAGCTTCTTAGAGCCTCTAGACCAAAGGCTAGCAATTTTTTTATGTGAGAGGCCAGATAGCAGATATTTTAGGCTTTGCAAGCCACATGGTCCCTGTCACAACTACTTAAGTCTGCTGTTACAGCACAAAAGCAGCCCTAGGCAATACGTAAGCAAACAGGCATGGCAATGCTCTGATAAAAAACCTTCCTTTACAAAAACCAGGAATACTGCCAGGGGCGGTAGCTCACACCTGTAATCCTAGCACTTTGGGAGGCCCAGGGGGAAGGATAACTTGAGCTCATGAGTTGGGAGGGAGGATACCTTGAGCTCAGGAGTTCAAGACCAGCCTGAACAAGAGCAAGATCCCATCTCTACTAAAAATAGAAAAATCAGCCGGTGTGGTGGTGTGGTAGTGCACGTCTGTCCTCCCAGCTACTTGGGAGGCGGAGGCGGGAGGATCACTTCAGCCCAGGAGTGTAAGACAAGCCTGGGCAACATAGTGACATTCCATCTCAAAATATTCTTGAAAAATTAAATTAAAAAAAAAAAAAACACAAAAAAACAGGCATGGTCTGGATTTGGCCCAGGCGTGGTGGTTTGCTGACCCCCTGCTCTAGATCCAAGAATGGGGACAAGGCAATGAGCCCCCAGACTCCCCTAGACACATCCCTGGTAACCAAACACTTTGAAATGGTAATCAGGTGATTCTCTTGCCTGGTCAACCTGGGGCCTGTGTGGCCTTTTGCCTCTCAGAGGGAGAGCAAGGCACTAGTAGAAATGCTCCTACCAGGTGGTTTTTAGCCGTCACACACACCTGTTGGGAGCTGATGAAAGCAATGGACCCTCTCAACCCCCTGAAAGACACAGCTGAGCAGCATGTACACACGTACTCGTTTGCATACCATTCCAGGGGGTGTGCAGCCCTCCTGGAACCTACTCCTGTACCATGGAGAGAACTAACAACCCTAGGGTAAGATCCCTTGCTCACTCAGAAAGAGAACTTTGTATTTGAAAGAGCTCTTCCAAATCACTTTAAAAAAAAAAAAAAAAGATAAAGAACCCTGTAGAAAAATAGACAAATGACACAAAGAAGCAATTCACAGGAGAAACACAAATGACCAATAAAGCAGTGAAAGCATGCTCTGCCTCACTAATAATTAAAGACATCTGAAAAATCATGGTATATCATTTTTTACCAGATCAGACTGGCTAATGTTTAAAAGGTGAACGATACGGTGTTAGAGGGGGTAGGGAGAAAAAGGCACTCCCTTACCTGCTGGTAGGCTTGTATCAGCAGGTAACCTTTCTAGACCATTTAACAGTACATTTTAAATTTGAAAACATGCTCATTCTGTAGCCCAGCAATTCCACTTCCAGGAATTTATTTTACAGAAATACACGTACAGGGATGTTCACTTCAGCAGCATTCATAAATTGTAAAAATTGGAAACCAACCCAAATGTCCATTAGTAGGAAAATGGTTGAATAAATCATGGCACATCTATTTTAAGGAATAATATGGAACTGTTTAACATGAGGTAGATCTCTAGAGTTTAAAATAATAAGGCAGATCTCTAAGTACTAACAGGAAAAGATGTAAAAGATATATTAAGTAAAATTGGCAAGTTCTAACAGTTCTTTAGAAAAAAAAGAAAAGAAAAACATTGTTATATGAAGACTAAGAAAATATACTAAAGAAATATATTCTGAAATCTGAAGGTAGACTTAACAGAATTTTAGTCTACAATTTATATTTCTCAAAATGTTGAATTTTTAAAACAAAAACATTTTTTGGTTGGGCGTAGTGGCTCATGCCTGTAATCCTAGCACTCTGGGAGGCTGAGGCAGGCAGACTGCTTGAGGTCAGGAGTTCGAAACCAGCCTGAGCAAGAGCAAGACCCCATGTCTACTATAAATAAAAAAAAAATTAATTGGCCAACTAATATATATATAAAAATTAGCCGGGCATGGTGGTGCATGCCTATAGTCCCAGCTACTCAGGAGGCTGAGGCAGGAGGATTGCTTGAGCCCAGGAGTTTGAGGTTGCTGTGAGCTAGGCTGACACCACAGCACTCTAGGCCGGGCAACAGAGTGAGACTCTGTCTCAAAAAAAAAAAAAACCCAAACAAACAAAAAAGAAATAAGCTGGACAACTAAAAGTATATATATAAAAAATTAGCCGGGCATGGTGGCATGTGCCTGTAGTCCTGGCTACTCGGGAGGGTGAGGCAGGAGGATCGCTTGAGCTCAGGAGTTTGATGTTGCTGTGAGCTAGGCTGACACCACAGCACTCTAGGCCGGGCAACAGAGTGAGACTCTGTCTCAAAAAACAAAAATAAAACGAAAACATTTTTATTTTTATAATCATAAAAAATAAGAAAAGGAACATTCCGAATCTCTTATTCTGAGCACTACCCAATTAATAAAAAAAAAAAGAAAAAAAAGAAAGGAAAGAGAAGACAAAGTCTTACAGGCCCATTAGATTCTCCTAAAAGTTTCTTGGGCAACAACTGCACAGTTAATATTAAAGTTTTTCTTAAAGGGGATTCACAGTACGGTGGTTTTTACCCATTTATCTTGTACTTTATTACAACAAAGCATCTTTCTGCATCTCAGAGCGTAAACTCCTCAAGTTCAAGGACTGTCTCATTCTTTCATCCCTGAAAGTCAAACCTGCCACGATAGAGGCATAGCGTGACTAAAATAACGGGGGTGACACCGGCTTTTATTTCTCATCATGATGAAAGCGTTGGTGGTTTTCACGCTGTAAAGAACAAACAGAACCAGGACTCCCTGTTTCCCAATTTATACAACTTAATAGAATTTGTGTGCTTTTGACAGTTTGAACATGTTTTTCACAGTTTCGAAATTTGTTTTCCTCTTCGAATTTGAGAGAGGGAGAATGTATCCAATTTTCCTTTAAATCTACCTGGTTAAAAAAAATCAAAATCAAAACGCCCGGAAGAGTACAAAGGAAATCTCCTCGGCACCGACACAAGCAAAGCAACTGAGGTTCCCAGACCTGTGTGTGTCATCCATGCCCTGTGGGACACCCACCCCATGCGCATACCAGACATGCCACCCTGTGCCATGCTCTCCTCACCTAACGCAGATGTCACTGAACGTGCCACTTCCATAGATCTAGATCCAGACAGTCAATCCTTTCCGCCAGGACGAAGCTAACAAGGTAAGTGCAGGAAAGGTGACAGAAAAGACACAAGGCCTGGCTCTGGCTCACTGCCTACAGGCGGGGTTGTGGGGATTCCAGCACCTCCTCAAGCTCCTTAGAAGAGGACTCGAAGTCCCCAGAGCTCCCTCAAAGCTGAACAACTCCCTGCAACAGTGCAACTCCTGACTCCTTAGTGGAAAGAGAAATGAGAAACCAGACTGCACTGCAAGTAGTTAGGGTAGGTATTATGTCTTTAAAACTTTTTTCCTTTTTCACAGGTAAACTGAGGCAGGCAAGATTTCCCTGCTGGATAGAAGTCTCTCTGAAGAGCCTACTACTCTACTATTGTCCCAGTGGCCAACTCTGAATGGCACCTTTGCCCGACCTCCCTTCTTCCCTCAGGGGAAGACTTTTGGGTTCCTTTAACTTTCTTTCTTTCAACCTGTACCTTCCTTCAGCCTCCTCCACCTCAACAAGAAGCCCATTCTGTGATGTCCTGGTGCTCCAGATACGGGGGGCTCAGTATGCGAGGAAACATCTCCCTCCCCAGAAGGGCTGTCTGTACTCCAGCATTTAGGAAACCAAGAAGAGAGGCGGTTTTCCATTCAGTTGTAGACAAAGGTAACGGTCTGGGCTGGGGCAATTCCAAGGGAGCTTTGTTTTTAGACTGTGCTGTTAACCAAATCTCCCGGAGACCCTGGTGACAGCTGCCATGAAAAACAAAAAAAGGAAGTGGGCGACAGCTTTCTGTCTCTGTGCTGCTGTCTTCCCTGGGCACGTGGCTACTGAGCTGCTTCCTCAGCGCCAAAGCCCAGATCAGAAGGCAAGAACTGGGTCACTCTGAGAGCCATGCCCTGCTGCCTACAGGACCTGCCAGCTTGGGAGGCGACCACTGGCTCTATGCCAGGCTGCTTCACCGGCAGCCCCTCTGCCACCTGGGACGTCCAGGCACATGCCGGCAAATGGAAGGCAAGGAAATGGAAACCAATGGAAACTGCCCCAAATTCACAAGCAGATGACTGAATTAGAGATCTTCTTTAAAAAAACTGATACTTACTGTTAATGAGGTAAAGGTCATGCACATCCCACCAAAGCCATTCAGAGACAGGGCGATGAAGATGAGAACTGAGAGAGCTGTAGGGAAACAGAAAGCTGGTAAGTGGGAACCACAGCTGGGCTTCAGGGAGGCCAGGGCCGGGCCCAGTGCCTCCATAGTGCAGGCTCCCAGCAAGTCAGGCTGAATGAATGACAAGCCATCGAGGGTGGCTAATGCTTGGCACCTGGGGAGCTTGCCTATTTAACAGAGCTTAGGCCTTGCAAAAGGTGCACACCCACCCTCCTTTCTCCATTAACATTAGCAGCAAGCAAGAGGCCTAAAGAAGTTGCTTCACTGAAACCAAAAATACAGGTTCCTAAAAATCAGTAGATGAACCTGCCTAAGATTTTGGGGAAACTCAAGTCTTATTTTGGTGTTTGTTCTAAAAGTCCATGAAGCAACAGCTCCACATTGGGTGGACCAGGTGGCTTCTAATCCATCCTCACAGTACTGGCCTGGGCTGCCTTGATAGGACTCCGCTCACAACTTCTGCAACACATCGAGGACCACGCCCAGGCTCCTGCAGCTGGCCTGGTTCTTTTTAATTTTTTTTAACAGACAGGGTCTCACTATGTTGCCCAGGTTAGTCTTGAACTCTTGGGCTCAAGTAACACCCTACCTTGGGCCTCCCAAAATGCTGGGATCACAGGCATGAGCCACCACACCTGGCCTTGGCCTGGTTGGTAGAACTCGTCTCTCAGGTTGGCATCAATGAGGCCATCAGGGACTGACTTGGCGATGAAAGTTTCACACACTCTGGGAGCTTCTCTCAGCCTTCTGTCTGGAGCAGTTGCTCTCTGACCCAGCCATCCATTTCAAATAAGAAATGAGTGAAGGCCTACTAGGTGTCCCCTCTAACTTGAACAGCGAGCACCAGGCCTCGTATAGCATCCAAGAGCAGATGGGCCTGGGAGCACCTCTGGGCAATCTCCCCCCAGCCCCTGATAAAAGGGTGGAGGAAAAGTGTAACTCACAGTTTGGGTTACTTGCTCCATATGCAATTAGCAAGCAGGAAACAGCAAAGCAGGCACTAAAAACCAAGCAGAAATAGCGCATTACTTGTTACTCCTACATCACTCATTGTTATTGTTAATATTGTTATCATTTTCAGAACATTTACATGCATTATTTCATTTAATTAACAAGTCTAAGGAGAATAATTGGCCCCAAATTACTGATGAGAAAAATAAATCTCATAAAAAAAAATAAAAATAAAGCTAGTTTCTCTAAGATCTTTTACCTAGTAAGTGGTTAAGCTGGAATTCAAGCTCCAAAGCCAGATCTTATAAACACCACACTGCACTGCCCTCTCCTACCCCCAGACCAGAGATAGCCAAGGCTCTGAAGCGAGAAAGGGGACCACTGCTTCCTCAGGTTCCTATGCCCTTACCCAGGGATGGACAGAACCCCACTGGGCACGGGGGCAATGAGTGGCTGTTCCCAAATCCCCTCCACTTGGCTCTGTCCTGGGAACCAGCTCTGCAGAGTGAACTGGAGCTGATCCTTCGCCCACTCCCTTCACAGGCACAGGTCTCACTCACTGCAAACCACTGCCCTGCCAGGTGACCACTCCCATTGGGAACTGGGCTGGGGAGGACCCTGGCCTGAGAAACCCAGCTGCTTGGGGAACTGACCCTCACTTTGGCAGACTAGAGGTTTTGGTTTTTGTTCTTTATTTGTAAGAGACAGGGTCTTGCTCTGTCACTCAGGCTGGAGTGCAATGGCACAATCATAGCTTACTACAGCCTCAAACTCCTGGACTCAAGCCATCCTCCAGCCTCAGCCTCCCGAGTAGCTGGGACTATAGGCACGTGCCACCACACCCAGCTAATTTTTCTTATGCTTTGTAGAGACGGGGTCTCGCTCTTGCTCAGGCTGGTCTTGAACTCCTGAGTTCAAGTGATCCTTCCACATTGGCCTCCCAAAGTGCTGGGATTATAAGTGTGAGCTACCTCAACCAGCCAAGATGAGACCAGGGACACATACCCTGGCACCCTAGGGAGGTGCACAAGATAATTTATGAGGGTGCCAATATCCTAACACTTCTTTGTTGTAATTTTTAATCTTATCCATTATCATTTATATTGTTGCATTTGTATCAAAAAGCACATAAAACATTAAAAATGGCATATACATATATCATTTACAATTCCATGTGCTTATATTGGAGGTACATATTGAAAATCTTTTTTTCTAGTGGAGATGTAAGGTCAAACAGATTTTGGAAACCAGTGTTTTTTTTTTTTGAGACAGAGTCTCACTCTGTTGCCCAGGCTAGAGTGTCATGGCGCCAGCCTAGCTCACAGCAACCTCGAACTCCTGAGCTCGAGCGATCCTCCCGCCTCAGCCTCCCAGAGTGCTGGGATTACAGGCGTGAGCCACCTCGCCAGGCCAAAACCGGTGTTCTTAATAACAAGCAACTCCAGATCCTCCCAGGTAAACTTAGGGTCAGACCTGTGCTTTTCCCATGCAGTACGGGCACATTGCACAGATCACAGTAACTACAGATTCGGTGGCAGATGGGGTAGGAACCCCACTCTGGACAGGCATCTAGGAAGCTGATAGCAGGTACCAGGATTCTAGACAGCAGGGAACTCGTCCCGGGGCCCACCTGCCCACCCCCTGATGGAACCGCACTGACCTGCCCAGCAGCCTAAGCTTCCTCGGGCCGTACTTGTCCATGACGATGCCCAGGGGCAGGGTGATGGCGCTGAGCAGAAAGGAGCCCACAGTGAAGGCCAAATTTAGCATCTCATCCTGGGCCTGGCAGCTGAGCCAGCCATTCATCCAGCTCACCTCCTCGTGCTCTGGCTCTGCCGTGTCCCACATTGTGCCATTGGTGACATTCTCTGTGTAGAAAGGGAGGGAAACCTGACCTCAGGGTCATGGCAGAGATTCCCAAAAATCAGAGGAGCAGGTGCACATTCAGAGCCACCCCATTGGGAATGCCAGGGCTGTCTCTGGACCCCTTGAGTGTTGTGCCACCCCACAGCAGCCTGGGACATCCATTTGGCTCAAGCCCCCTGGAGCAAAAATGCAGAGGTTCTTTTTTTTTTTTTTTGAGACAGAGTCTCACTTTGTTGCCCAGGCTAGAGTGAGTGCCATGGCGTCAGCCTAGCTCACAGCAACCTCAATCTCCTGGGCTCAAGCGATCCTACTGCCTCAGCCTCCCGAGTAGCTGGGAGTACAGGCATGCACCACCATGCCCGGCTAATTTTTTGTATACATATTTTTAGTTGGTCAATTAATTTCTTTCTATTTTTAGTAGAGACGAGGTCTCGCTCAGGCTGGTTTTGAACTCCTGACCTCGAGCAATCCTCCCGCCTCGGCCTCCCAGAATGGTAGGATTACAGGCGTGAGCCACCGTGCCCGGCCCCCCTGATATTTTCATAGCATTACCTTCCACATATACTATGTCTTAGAACCTCTTTGGAAAGGTTTTTTTATCAACCAAAGTTATTCGCTTTCACACATGGAGGTGCACCTTTCTTATTCTTCTCACTGGGCTCATCGCGTTACCATCCCCCGTGACCACACTCAGACCCCACTGGGCGCTGAGCCTCCCAGCTTGGTGTGTTGGCCACACCTGAGCTGTAATCCCAACCCTGAAGGGCTCCCTCCAAAGTCCACCCAGCACTGAAACAACACAAACAGAGAGGGAAAAGTGCTGCGGCAGCTGAGGGCGGGAGCGGGGAGGGAGGGCTGGCAAGGCGGCTGGCTGAGAACTCTTCTTGCGGGGACTGCTAGTTAAGAGATGCTGACTAATCCTGCAGAGACAGCAGCAGACTTTGATTAGATGCGAGGTCACACTGGGAGAGTCAAGAAATACTTTCCTCCAAGATAACTGCCTGCCTCCCAATTGCAGCCCTCTGGCGCCAGGGCTGTAAAGCTGAGGTCTGCAAAGGCTTGCTCAGGCCTCTCAGGGCTGTCCCAAGGCCACTGAAAATGATGCTTGTGGGGTGAATCATGCCATATGCTGACCTCTGACCAGTGAACCCTGCTGGGAGCACAGTGGCTGAGAGTGTGGGACTGGGATCTGGCGGCTGGGTTCCAATTTTGGTTCCTCCACTTCTAACTCATATAACCTCTCTCTATCTTAGTTTCCTTATCTGTAAAATGGGAAACTGTAATAATAACATCCATCTCCTAGAATTTGGGGGAAGGTAAATGAGAAAATCTAGATAACATTCTAGAGGTCATAGAAACCACTCAATAAATAATAGCTAAAAGTTATTATTATTATTATTATTACAGTTGTGGGAGGTTTAAGATAGAAGTAATGGTACAACCAGCTGGCAGCAGAGCCGGGCACAGGAACTGGGAGCCCAATCTTCCATGTGTGTGCCAGCGTGAAGACACATCTCGTCTCCCATCGGGCTGTGAGACCTGAAGGGCAGGGACTGTGCTCTAGTCCCTTCTGTGTCCCCAGCATCTCACCCAGGTTCTGGCCCACAGTAGCTCTTTACTGAATGAATAAAAAAAATGGAAGCTGATGACAATGGCCGAAAGGATCAAGAGGGAGGAATGACAGTAGGACATACAGAACTGAGTTGAATACAGAGGGGATTTAAGGAGATTACAGACACAAGGTCAACCACCTGAAGCCATAGAAACAAACCTAACCAGCCAAATTCCTGCCTCCATCACTTTCTCTGTTTTCCAAGAGGCCCTGCCACACTGACAGCCAAAACACATGGCCTGTGCCCTTAGCATCCAGCTCAGAATTGTCCCACATACGACCCCAGCCCACAGGCCTGAGCTGCTTATTCACTGTGGGGTGGCTTCTGGAAAAGGCAGGGTGGCTTCCTGGGTTGGTGCTGGTTTCAGATGTCAGCTCTGCCAGTAGCAGTAGGAACTGGATCTGAAGTGAGGGGAACAGGGTCTCCACACAGCAATGGCCATTTCTAGGTCAACACGCAGATATGAGCAAACCAGCCCAGATGCGACAGAGTGGACAGGTGGAGGGGGCACTCCAGGGCCCAGGATGGCTGGCTCATGTGACCTGATCATGGCCATGCTGGTCTGGAGCCAGTTGCTACACTAGGGGATGCAGGATAAGTCAGGGCTTGGGGTGCTGCAGGCACTGCTGCAAGCAGGGAGCTGTAGGGGGGCGAGGAGCAGAGTGAGTGAGGTGGCACTGCCTTCGCATAGAGACACCAGCTACACCCCGCCCCCCAGTCACCGCAGAGAGGAACCACAGCTGCATCTCTAAATCCATGACTCTTCTCATCGAGAGACGGAAGATAAAATCCCAAGGCTTTGTACCCAAGGCAGTCTCTCTAATTTTTTAGAAATGGGGACAGGAGTGGAAACATCTTACATGTTTAGAGATCTGATCATCCCTATAACTAGATGGGGGGCGGGGCGGGGAGGGGACTCTCAAAGAGAGATGTCAGGGTAGAGGCAAGGGTATCTGTCCTTCCCATCTTTTACCTGGAACCACTACATATAGGAGCAGTAACTTTGTACTTTAGGCCACCATCCTTCTTTCCTTTTTTTTTTTTTTTTTAAGGCAAGCACAGTGAAATTTATTAAGGGGGAGCAAGATAGAATTATAGAGCAAGATCAAGATACGGGTTTACAGAGCAAGATATATACGCCAGAGATGACAACTGGACCCCTTGTCATAGCATAAGAGACCTTGGTTGTGGTTTGGGTCTTGTTCTCTAGTGTCCAGATAGGAACCTCCTCATGGTTCAGATGTCATCATGGAACCACTTTGATGGACAGCTGGGAGTTACATGACCTGAGTCTTATTGCGCATGTGGATCTCCCATTATCCTCTCTGTGGGGATTGTGGGGGTGAACCGCAATGTAGATTTAAGCTAATGACAACCTAATTAGCCTTAGGTTGTCCTAAGTCACCTTCACAGACTCTATTGTACCCATGCCTCTTGGCTCGTGGGCTAGAGTCCTCAGCTGGCATGCTAAGTCCTTCTTTCCTTAAACAAATCCCTGCCAATGGGGCCACCTGGCCCTCTGCCCTCCTTCCTCCAGGCAGTGATGTACAGCAACAGATGAGCCTGAGGGTTGATGGGGATCGAGTGGCTTCTCTTGTCTGCTTAGGGAGTAATTTGAGAATCTCCCTCGCTCCTGCAGGGAACAAAACCTTTGGTGAGCCCAGAAGCTCTGTTGGCAGTAAACAGCCCACGCTGATCGCAGACCCAGCAGATGCCCAAGCACAGTCACACCTAGGCTGCTCCTCTCCCTCTGCTCCCACCTGGGCCACCATGGGCCAGGTAAGAGACAAAAACAGATAAGCAGCCAGGAAGTACTGTTCTGCTCCCGGCCCAGAGCTCAGCCCTCACCCAGCCCAGCCGGCTCTGCTCCCACCTGCACCTGCTTATTAAACAGATGCCTCCTCAGTGGGCGGCCGGAGTGGCCCAGCCCAGCCAGGGAAGGTGAACCAGGAAGACAGGCAAGGAGCTGGTGTGGCCAGACTGTGCCGGGAACAGGAACAAGGCTGCTTCGGAGGAGACCCAGGGCCAGGGAAGAGAGAACAATGCCCTGCACTGTTCGGCCCCACTTACAGAAGACTTGTAAACAAAAAAAAAAAAAAAATCTTTACGGAGAAAGCAGGGGAGAGAAAAGAGGGTGCTGTGACTCCACTCGGGCTCCCCCAAGCCTCCCCAGGTCAAAGAGGGGCCTCCCCCACCCCAGGGAAATGAAAGGAACGGGGAGCCTCCAGCACAGCTGGCTGGATGATGCCTGTGGGGGCCGGGTGGCAAGTAGCTTGAGGTCCCCTGTGAATTCCTGAGCAGCCCCATCTCTGACAGCCTGCTCTCTCAGTCCCCCCACTTGAGGGTACAGGCTCCTGGACAGCCCTGCTGATGGGCCCTGCCCCAGGATCTCCTGTCTCTCTCAAATCCTTAGTCTATCCGGCAACAGGAAGCAGCATCTCAGTCCAGCAGGGGAGATGTAGGTGAGAGGTCGGCTCAGACACAGAGCAAACAAGAGACAGGACACAGTCAGAGGCTGTCCTGGGCTGACCAGGCCTAGCCCCCTAGCTGTGGTCGCAGCAGCAGCAGCAGCAGCAGCTGTGGCTGCCGTTTGCAGAGCGCCTGTGTGTGCTGGCCACTGTGCTCAGTGCTATCTGTTTCCTGTGGCATTTAGCACCCTCTTACCTCTACCCCATGTTCCCCACAAGGATACGGGGAGTGTCAGAGCAGGTAAGTCATTTGCCAAAGGTCTCATAGACAATCCATGGGGAAGCTGGACTTGAATCCTGACTGTCAGACCCTGGAGCTGCTGTTCTTAAGCTTCAGGGTGTGCTGACACTGACCTACGTGGTTAGATGCATGTCACGTCTCAGAGGGAAAAGGCTGTCACACAGTGTTAGGGGCAACACCAAGTGGCCCTTATTATCGGCATGGGAATGCAACTGCCCCAAGACCCTCCCACAAGGCCCCTGAAAGCCAACCCAAGCTGGACAGGACCTTCATGAGACACCAAGAAACTGGGGGGGGGGTTGTGCAACGGATGTGTGTGAGGGAAATTAGGTCACGAAATGAGAAGGAGGAAGGCTGGGTTGGTGGGGACAGCCAAGGGCGCTAGCTCTTCTCTGAGACACATCCTGAGGCTGTCTACACCAGCCTTTAGACTCTCTTACTCTTTGCTACATTTTTTTTTTTAATTCCAAATAAACTGAGGGGAAAAATTCAACACAGCCATATTCACAGCAATAATATGGAAAGGTTGGATGTTAAAAGATGTCAACCGCTGGCCTGTGGGTATGGCACAGACCAAAAGAAGGGCGGTCGCTGCAGCAGCAGGGAACTCTCCTGTCCACATAGGCAGCCCTGCCAGCCTGGTGGGGACCAGGCCTGGCCCTGCTTGCTCAGGGGATGGCAGCTCCTCTGCCCTCTCAGGGACCCTGGGAGCCAGCTCCCTGCTTTGTGCCAGGTGAGAGGTACACTCCTGCCACCACAGGTGGAGTGACCACAGTGGTCAAGAGCACAGAACCGGGGTCTGCCTTCATGTTCATGGCTACACTGTGGCCTCCTCGGGCACAGGCCGTGTCGAATTGCACCTTCATAGCTGTCACCCCACCCAACACCCAGCTTGTGACAAGCCCTCAATAATTCATAAGAGTCTCTAATAGATGCATCAGAGCATCACCCTTCTCCGCCTCCTTGGCTTCTTCCTGCCTTGAGAATAAAATCCAGTCTCTTTAAGTGACCTCCTGGCCCTGCAGGCTGCAGCCCCTCCCCACCTCGCCAGTCATCTCCCGCAGCTGAGCCAGCCCCTTCTCTCTTCTCCTCCTCGCAGTGCCCCTCCTCTCCTGACTCGCCCCTGCTCACCCTCCAGGCTTTGGCCTAAACCCCAGAGAGGCCTGTCCAGAACCACATCCCCAGTGTTGTTCACTCCTGGCACCCCACTCTCTGTGGAGTCCCCACTGCCACTTGAAATTATACAGGTCTGAGTGCAGCCACTTGTTTGTTCTGCACACCAATCAATGTTTACTGAATGTGTAGGTTGTGTCGAAGAGGAGATTAAGCATCCACAAGTAGTCCCATCCCCCTGTGCTGACCTTGTTGAAGTGAGCCACTGACAGCAGAGAAGATGAAGAAAGAGGTCAGGTGTGGGTGGTTACAGTGGCCATCTGGAGGCCAAAAGGACACAGCTTTGCCAAGGGAACCAGGGAGGCATACGGTGGCCAACACCTGGTGGACATCGTGCAAAGTCCGAAAGTGCCCGCCCCGAGCTTCCCGGCCCCAGCCTTTCATCTCTCCGCCCATCCAGTGGGCAAGGCAAGGCAGACCGAGGGGCAACAGAGCAACCGGCTGTTCCTTTCCTTCTCCCACCTCACCAGGCTGGAACCCAACACTGTGTCTGGCCAGAGTCTGGCTGGAATCTTGAGAAAGAGTCCTGAGAAGCTTTCCACAGGTTCAGGCGAATTTTCTTTAGACAACAAACTACAGCATCAGTCCCAAAAGCAACAGAGTGCTCACAAATCTGCATCTCAATCAGCTGTAGACTGCTCAGCTTTTCACAAGTCTAATTCAATAAATTCAATAAATGGCATAACTGCTTCTCCGCAATTCAGCCATCCACCAAGTTTGAAAATGTTTGTAGGCCTAAGCAGAAACCTTGACCCTGACTTTGCCAGGCACTCCCGGACAGGGGGAGTGGAGATTTCTGGCCCCGAAAGTCAACAGGTTATGTGTCCTCCAAGAAGCAAGGAGCAAGAAGGTCAGAGAGATAAAATGTGTGGAACCAGCTGGCCTTTCTGCGAGGACGCTGGGTCAGCGGGTTTCCCAGATGATTGGAAAAGCCAAAATCAGAGGCAGGAGCAAAGGCACAGGATAAGAAGTTGATGTTCAACTCATAATCCTGACCCCTCACCTTCACTTTGGTGACCTGTCAAGTCTCCCAAGGGCTTAAACACCAACTCAGCACCACGTTGGCACAATCTCTGGGACTCCTCCCACTTAAGCAAAGGAAGAAGCCAAGGTTGAGGCAAGAATAAAGTGACTAGCCCCAATGCTACTGAATACCATAAAATAAATTAAATCAGTGGACAATCTGGGTGGGGTGGGGAGAACCCTAGAATATGAACTTCCTGACACCACAGTGGGTCAAAAAAAAAAAATCTGACCACATAACAGTCCTCTCTGGTCGGGATGAGATACTAACAGCGTTGTCTGAGGATGGTGGTTTTTGTCTGTTTTTCAAACCCTCTGTGCAGCCTGGAGGCACCGGTCAGGGAAGCAAGCAGGAAGGGGCATGATCTAAAAGGGAGGAGATACAAAAGGAGAGAAAAAGCCAAACACCCTAACCTGTTCCTTCCAGAAGAGTCATTAATCTCCTAGCATCTCTTGGGCAAAGCAGAAAGCTTGTTCAGGGAACAAGGTCTGACTCTTCCCATCTCCCAGGATTTCTTGCTGATGTGGGGAAAAGCCTGCCAAGAACCCTTAGGCTATTAGGAAATATTTTCAAGTGGCTAAAGGCTAAAGGTTGGTTATAAATGATATACTTTCTGCCCTCTCCCAGGCGGCTTCTGAATTCCCTCCCTTTCTCTTGCTCTCCAGCTAAGCCTCCCTAGAGACTGGGACACTCAGGAATCTCCTAAGCACATCAGAGAAGACAAACAGGGAGGCTTCTACACAGGGTCACAGACAGCACAAGTTGGTCCAAAGCTTTCTCTTTCTACAGAGTAACAACTCTAGAAAGAAAAGCCATGCTAGTGGTGACTCAGGGAGTCAAACCTGGGCTATCTCTACCTAAAGAGACTAAGCACCAGAGAGAGAGATTATGTGAGTTCAATTATTATGAGGTTACTGCTGGGGCAGGGAGGGAGAGGGCAGAGGGAAACAGTTCCTATCAAGGTTGCCTAAGAAGAAGGGTTGGAGGGTAGAGGCTGGCAGTCGCTTTGGCCCTACTGTTGAGCTAAACCTACTAACCTGCAGCAATCAGGGCCCTCAAAAGGGGAGGGAAGTGGGAAGGGGCGGGCAGATTTCACATAGACAAGCATCTTCTGTCTCAACACCAATGGTATGGCAAAGAGAAGGGAACAGACCTTTCCATAAATGCCCCCTTCTCCCCTACTCCTTCCTTTCCATGGGGTTGAAGGCCGCTGAGATGTTCTGACAGCCCATGGGAGGAAATGGCATTTGGAGAATTATAAAGCAGCAAAAATAGACAAGAAACTGTATCCAGGAAGCCCTTAGGAGACTCTGTCATGGCCTGTCTAAAAAAATGTCTAGATTCTAGATGAATCCTCCTTGGGGTGGAGGCAAAGTCACTTCCTCTGTCTTGCTGCACCCCAGCCTCTGAATCAGGAGTTCCTCTTTCTTAGCATCAGAGAGCAACATGTTTACTGCAAGGCAAGCCATGAAGCTGTGTTCCAGGCACTGGGAGGAGAGGACTCGGGCAACGTTCCTGGGTGGAAAGAACACCCTGGACTTGGGGTGGGGTTCTGGGTTTATCTCAGGCCCCAGCTGTGTTGTGGTCTTGCGCAAGACGGAAGATCAGTCTGAGCCTCAATCTCTTCATTCACAAAACATGACAATGATGAGGAGCAAATGGGCCTTTTGGTGCCTGGGAGGCGCTGTGCAGTGAGGTGGCATTGCTTGCTGGGTCTTCGCCCCCATCCGGCCCCCTCCCGAAGCCCCGACTCCGGAAACCACCCCCCTACTCAGCCCGAGGCGCCTATCTCACCTGGCTCAGTACACAGGTAGGAGTAAAAGCCCTCCGACTTGAGCATGATGAGCAGCGAGCCCCAGCCCAGGAGGACTGCCGAGAAGAGGAGGTTCTCCACCACCGCCGTGCAGGCCATCCACCAGCGGCGCCGATGGGCAGTGGCCAGGGTGGGCGCCATGGTGCAGCGCGGCGCGGCGGCCCGGCTTCGGCTCTGCAGCCACCTGCGCACAGAGCTCGGCGTCAGCGTCTGGCCCTGCCCAGCTCGCGAGGCCGCCCCTGGCTGCTGCCGCAGGGCGCGGAACCTGTCACCCCTCCGAGGCTCCGGCTGTAGGTGCGCACCGCAAGGAAGCAAACCCCAGCCCTGCCCGGAACCTGGGCCACCCTCGAACCCGCCGCTGGCTCGCACGGTTGCCCGCCCCCCGTGACGATTGAGCTGCTCTGGCCAGACAGGGAGACTTCTCCCTCAGCTCAATCTGAGGTAAACTGAGGCACGGAAGCAGCAAGGGAGTAACGCATGCTCAGGGATGTGGAACTAGTCCTGGCCGCCAGCAGGACTGACACAGCTTGGAGGCCGTAAGGGGGAGCAGCTTGCGGCCCGGCTACCTGGGCAGGGACATACCTGAGGGCTGCCACTCCCAGGGACCCTGACAGGCGCCCTCCCGCCCGCACTCCAGACCCTTCCCCAGAGCTGGTTCCTTCAACCACGAGATCGGCGCACCGAGCTCCGGCACGGCCCGCCCACGGCCCGCTCATTGGCCTGACGGCACAGGAACTGCGGCGCAATTGGCCACACTTTAGGTCGCTAGGCGCTGCGGCCACGCGAACCCGGCATGGGAGAGGCGAAGCCGGTTCAAACCGGCGGCGCGAGCTGGCCGTGCGACCCCCATGCCAGGCCGTTACCTCGGCAATTAGCCCGTTTCCATGGAAGCAGACCCCGTCCCTCCATCCCCCAGCTCCCGCCTCTATTCGTCATCTCTTCGCTGGCGGCTCCTCATCCGCCCAGTCTCTTTCCTCTTTTATGCACGCATATTCTCCCTACGCCCCTTCTCGCGCAGCGCCTGCCCCCAGCGCCCTCGGCCCGGCCGATCTCCGGGGTCCAGCTCACCCGGCTCCTACTGGTGTGTATCGGGCCCGCCCGGCGTCTTTTCTGCCCCCTTTTATTCCAGCCCTTTTATTCCGACCCCAAGATGAAAACACTGGCGCCCGCTGATTGGCTGGGTCGGGGCTGGAAACAGGCGCCGACCAATCAGCAGACGCCCGCCCGCCCCGAAGCGAGCAGAAGCCGGTTCCGGCCGGACTCGGAGACAAACAAGAGGGATGGGGGGGCCCGGGGACAGCTGCGGGCTGTGCCGCGGCTCTGCTGCCTTAAGCGGGAAGGCTGGGAACCCCCGGGGACATTGCCCCGTTGCCCCTCCGGAGCCCCACGCCGGAGCCCTGACCCTGGGCTGGTCTCTGGCTTGGCGTTCCGGGCTCTCTGGACCTCCGCGGATGCACGCCGGCCCCGCTAGCGCACCCTCCTCGGCTGTCCTGCGGCCCTCCGCGTAGTCCTAACTTCCCCTCCGCCCTGGGCGCCACGCCCGGATGCTCTGGCCTCGCGTGGGTCGGGTCGTTCTACTCTCGAAGCCCCCGTCGCCTCCTCCCCGCGCAGCCACCCGCTTTGTGTTCTGGTTCTTCCGCGCGCTCGCGCCCTCAGTGCCCCCTCCCAGGCACAGTCTGCCCATCTCCGACCCCGGGTCCGTGTTCCGGCGTGGTGTGCCGCTTGCCTGCTCTCCCGACTCGCCGACCTCGTCCCCTCTGCTAGATGCCATCCGCCCGGTCGCTGGAAGGTGTCCCTTAGAGATCTGCAGGCGGGAGTTTGGGGCTTGTCTGTCCCGTCCTAGGATGGTGTTTCCTCTGGTCCCCCATCCAGACTCCGATCTCTTCATCCCCGTCCCCTCTCTCCTCGGTCCCCTTGGGGACCCCCAACCCGACCGGTCGTCTTAGTGCTCCCTGCCCGGGTTGGCCACCCCACCTACCCGTTCCCCTGAGCCACCCCGACCCCTGCCCACCCTGTTCCCGGACGTTGCTTTCAGGTAAGGGCCCTCTCTGCAGGCTGTCGCCGTGGGCAACGACAAGCTGCGAGCACAAGTGTGGCTTCCGGGAGAGCTCGAGGGTCCCAGAGGGCTCCGGGCTCCCCGGCTCCCGATCTATCAGTCAAGCTGGACCTGCCCCAAGGAACAGCCAGGGCAGGGGGATGAAGCCTGGGCTCTGAATGTTCAGTTGCCCGGGTGTGTCTCCTCCAACCGAGGCACTAGCCCGACTTCGGAAGACCCTTGGTCTCCCCCAGATTCGGCTTGGTCTCCCTGGCACGCGCGGGGAGGGAGCTGGCTTCACACCCCAGGGCTGTGGAAGTCCCAGCAGGCTCCTACTCCACCTCCCCCAGTCCGAGTGCGCCCCCTACCGCTGTGAACCCGCCGCTGGCCACCTGGCGAGGGCACCTTCTCCCAGACAGTACCTGGGAGTAAGCTTGGGGAGTGTCAGCTGGTTACCTATCCAGGACCCCACTCTGCAGAATGCGCACTCACAAGGTTTCCACTGCCACCTGACAAAATCTCCGGTCCTTCCCCACCTCCTCCTTGAGCCATCTGCCTGAGGGCCATCTTCAGGCCTCAAACACGTCTGGAATATCTCTAAAATAAATCCCTTTCTTTCCCCAAACTGTTACATTTTCTCTCAGATACTAACACTATTATTACTTACTGAAGTTAGATACAGAGAACCATCCTTTCAACAGATACTTGCTAGGCACCTTCTGTGATTCTCCCTGTTCTCCACCCCACCCTCACCACACCAATACAGACATGTCTTCTAAATATCTAATCTGTCCATCTCTGTCCCTAGGACTTCAACTACTGTTCATCTAGCCTCCAGTCTCAGCTCCTCAAATCCATCCCCCATCCCAATCTGACCTTGGTAAATCTGACCTCTGCTTTTATTTTTTTTTATTTTTTATTTTTTTTGATCTGCTTTTATTTTATATTTTATTTTATTTTATTTTTTTGAGACAGAGTCTCACTTTGTTGCCCAGGCTAGTGTGAGTGCCGTGACGTCAGCCTAGCTCACAGCAACCTCAAACTCCTGGGCTCAAGCCTCCCAAGTAGCTGGGACTACAGGCATGTGCCACAATGCCCGGCTAATTTTTTCTATATATATTAGTTGGCCAATTAATTTCTTTCTATTTATAGTAGTGATGGGGGTCTTGCTTTGCTCAGGCTGGTTTCAAACTCCTGACCTTGAGCAATCCGCCCGCCTCGGCCTCCCAGAGTGCTAGGATTACAGGCGTGAGCCACTATGCCCGGCCTCTGGAGGCTGTTTGACCTGCCTTAATCCTAGATGCTTCAATCACATGGAATTGCTTGTGGTTCCAGCACCTGCTGGCTCTCAACATAGTCCCTTCTTGGACAGCACCTCCTCTAGGAAGCCTCCCCTAAGCACTCCCCACTGATTGCATTCATTTTATTTTGGTTTTTGGAGACATGGTCTTGCTCTGTTGCCCAGGCTAGAGTACAGTGGCATCATTAATAGCTCACTGCAAACTCCAACTCCTAACTTCTCTCCTTGGCCTCCCGAAGTGTTGGGATTACAGGCATGAGCCACTGTGCCCAGCAGATTGTATTATTTTATAATTATCTGTTCATCTGTTTGTCTCTCCCTCCCACTGACTATGAACTCTCTGGGGGCAGGACTAGTGTCTTATTAACTTTGTATGTATATAACCAGCCCTTAAAATATAGAAATAAGCACAAAGCAGGCACACAATATGAGTTTGTGGAATGAAAACATGAACAAACGAAGAAAACATGAATGAATGAAAAGGGGCGAAATGTACCAGGTTCTAGGACAAAGAATTCATTATTATTTTTTTTTTGGGGGGGGGGTGTCCTTCCAGTGAGGACCAGAAAACCTGCTAGACAAATTCTAAAAGAGCTGTAACACTGGGACAAAAAATTCAAAGCTAAGAGAATGATGGCAGTGCCAATAATAATTACCTTTTATTGACAGTTAAACATTTACCAGGTGCTTTATGTCCTTTGTGTCATTTAATTCCCACAACAACTCTGGGAGAAGGGCATTCTTATTGTTTTTCAGATGAAAAAACTGAGGCTTTAGGTAACTTTTCCAAGGTCAAAAAACAAGATGTCAGAGCTGGGATTTGAACCCAGGTCTATTTGAATGAAACTGTTTTAATTTTTTTTTCAGTCTTTTTGTCCAGAAAAAAAAAAAGCCCCAACCCCAGCACTGTTGGAAAATCATAAAGAAATAAAACTACTAGAGTACTAGAAGAAAATGTAGAAGATTATTTCACTGATTTTAGGGTAGAGAAGATACTAAGCACAACATGAAACTCAGAAGTCATAAAGAAAAAGGCTGTTTTTTTTTTTTTTTTGAGACAGAGTCTCACTTTGTTCCCCAGGCTAAAGTGAGTGCCGTGGCGTCAGCCTAGCTCACAACAACCTCAAACTCCTGGCTCAAGCAATCCTCCTGCCTCAGCCTCCCTAGTAGCTGGGACTACAGGCATGTGCCACTATGCCCGGCTAATTTTTTCTATATATATTAGTTGGCCAATTAATTTATTTATAGTAGAGATGGGGGTCTCGCTCTTGCTCAGGCTGGTTTCGAACTCCTGACCTCGAGCAATCCGCCAGCCTCGGCCTCCCAAAGAGCTAGGATTACAGGTGTGAGCCACCGCGCCTGGCCAAAAAAGGCTGTTTAAACTAAAATTTTAAACTTCTTTAGAGAAAAAAAGAAAAATTATAAACAGCATTAAAAGACCAGCCACAAATAGGGAAAGAATTAATATTCTTGATATATAAAAGGCACTTATAAATCAATCAGAAAAAGACGAATACCTCCATTGAAAATAGGTAAAACAATAGAATGAGATAATCTATAGGAAAAAATACAAATAGCTATT